TTCAATGCACTGTGTGCCGAAGACGTAATACACTTGTAACCGGCATGCGGGGCCGATAAAGTTTCTCTCCGGCTCGTTCTTCCCTGTCCGGAGAGCTTGGAATGCCCGCCGTGAAGAACCGCGGCACGAAGACGAATCAATCGCGCGCGGACGCGGCATCAATTTTTAAAGGAGTGGCAGTTTGTTGACCCTGAAAAATACCAGGCTCGTACGCCGTTCGAATTCGCTCCGGTTGCAAATCGCTTGTTTAAATAAAAATGTGTCCAGGGGATCTGCGTGTCTGCTTCGAATGCATTACGAACGACACGGACGGCGTGCAATGTTGTAATTTCGAAGAATTCTTCTGTAAAAATGTAGACTTTATAGTCCGCCGTGTATTCGTTGCTTTGCCGTAATATTTTATGCATTCAAGGACCTTTCCTCGTTGCTGCCTTTGCTCAAACACCTTGGCGACTTCTCACCGATGGCGAGTCGGGTTTATACCGTTAATCGAACAAACAAGGCCGTGTCTGGCCTCTAGACCTGTTCCTCCTGTGCTATTCAACGTTGAATCAATCACACGTTCACATTTCTACTAAACGTGTCCTCCTCTTAAATATTGTTCGTTTTATCCATACTGTCTTATACAGGATGGGTCACCACATATTGCCGTCTAGATTTATGTACGTCATTATTGTTACGGGAAAAATGTTTCAGATGAAGTTGAACCTTAACCAATGATCTTAACTAATGATTTTTCAACATAAATAGGTTAGTACTTTTTTTGTAAAGAATATCAAGGTGCATCAACTGATGCAATAAAAAATATATGATTCCATTTAAAAAAAAACGTTAATGACAATTCATATGTCCTCTACACGGTCACCTACAAGAAAACTAGTATCATCAAAATGTACCCCTCTCGAAACCATTTAACTTCATCTGAAAAACATTTTTCGCTACGCGTAATAACGATGAAACGTAAATCTGGTGAGCCACCCTGTATATTGACAATTTCATTCGCAATAATCGTGTTGCAATCAATTTGAATAACGTACGTCAAATAGAGCATTAGGAACGAGCATTATCTGTCGTCGTTTGCAAAAATAACTGCGCCCGTTGTAAACTCTTGGCGAGGAGAGATTTAATCGTTCACGGCCGACCGAAAATATATATTATCGCCTAGACTGGTCGATGCACGAGGCTGAAAATCTCCTTAATTCGCTCGACCTCGATGAAACCGGGCTCTCGCCCCGTATATATCCGAACATTAGACCAAGGGTCTTTCCACCCTCGAACAAGAGGGTGGTGGCTACGCTGGATAGACGTTGCCAAGCTAGCCAGGGTGACTTGAAGTATGCACTTGACGCATGCAACCTCAACTCCGCCGTGTATTTTCCAGCAAACGCGAGCCTATCCTTCTTACCGGAATCCTCTCTCGTCTTTTCCTTTCGGTTCTCCCCCCCTGGACTATTTAACTCCTCTTCTGCCATCCACGGAATTTCTTATGTAATTCAATCTTGTCGTTTTCCGTATCAGGAGGAGAAAAATTCAAGACATTTTTTATTTCGTAGAAACGAATGACAATTTGTTCTCGAAGGAAAATTTACTTTGTCGATTAAAATATGTATTTCAAATCGGATCAAAAATGGATTCAAATGGATCAAAAATGTATTTTTGACCAATATCACAGAGATCCGCTTATACATCTATAATTTAGCTATAGAGAGTGGTTCAATAAGGATCGTTGTTTCTGCAAGTATGAAAAAACTTACATGTGAACAGAAGCCGTTCCGTACAGAGAGAGAGAGAGAGAGAGAGAGAGAGAGAGAGAGAGAGAGAGAGAGAGTTGGCGGCAGTGATAATTTTTCTAGTCGGAGAGATTCGAAAATTTCAAGGTCTTCGCTTTTTTAAGGATTGTCTATTCTTTAATTCATTACTCGACTTTTCTATAAAAGAATATCAATCTATATATGTGAAAAAAATTCATTTGGTAGATATTTTTAGTTTAATCTTAATTTTATAAGATATATCGCGGAAAAAAACAAATATCATGTACACAAGAATTTTCTGTCTTTTCTTTGTAGACTTTATAAAATGAAATTGAAGTTAAAATATTTTCTAAACCATACAGTTAATGCTGTTATGTCAATATGTCAAGCTGCATCCTTCTATTTAAATTGTAATAAAATCGTACATTTAAATTGTAATAAAATTGTACATAGAGACCAATACAGTAACCTCCTCTGAATCGAGCAATTTTTATTAATGAAACCTTTTCGTATCTCCAAAAACAGCGAAGACATTCAAGTGTCAATTCCTATCAAACCATTCTGTATACGAGAAACGTCCAAATAACAAAGCTGAATAATAAAAGATCCTGCCTTTAAGTCGTTACCTGCGTTACCGTTCTATTGTTGTTGAACTTGCAGTTAATATCACGGATTACGGAGAACTAATTATATGATCTTTCATTAAAATTGCAGTTAAATCAACTGTTACACAGTATACAGAAATATAAAGAAAAAGATAGAATCGACGAGTTACTGTCACCACTGTCCAATCACGAAACGCGTTAAACCACCACGCGATCCACTCGACTTTATCCAAAGTTTACGAGTGGTTGTTCACCCTGCAGCTCTCTAGCTCGCTATTGGCTCCTCCTCGGTGACACGTGTATCCGCCACCACCACTTCCACAAGTTCTTTTTCTCATCCTTCCTCTCCTCCTCCGGCCGCTCTCGAAAAAACACCTCGAACAACTCGTTCCCCTAGCTTTTTCTGTCAATCACGTCCGCGTGACACGATCTCCGGCGGCAGTTTTACGATTGTCAAGGCGGTTGTCACGCAGGCGGAGGACACAGCCAGTTGAATTAATTGGCCCGTCGTCCTGTCAATATCCAGTTTCACGCGACCGTTAACAGATACACGCGAGATTTACGAGGCGAAAACGCGAAAAAAAAGTAAAGGCCAGATATAATATCGCGCCACGGTGGTTCTGAATAATGAGCTCGATATCCATAATTGTCTATCAGAACCCGTTCGTACTCGCACTCGCCTTGATCGCCGATTAACCGTGAATCGTTTCTACTCGATCCATTGCTCCTGCTTTGGGTATCGACGTTTTTAAAGCGTCGAAGGAGAAACTAGAGACTTTTAGACTTGCGAGAGAGAGAGAGAAAAAAAATTAAAGAATTAAGCAGGAAAAAAATTACATGTTCTCCGCATCGCGTGTGGGTTAATTCAGTGGGTGTTTAGTCGCGAAAAATGTTGTAGGTTTTGTTTCACTTTCCGGTGAAAGTTTCGTTAGATTCGCGAATATGTATCGATGAATAAACCAGTCGTTCAAGAGAAATGCGAATTTAAATTTTCTGCTGTTTTTGCTCAAGACAAAATTCTCCGAAAGAGCAACGATTGAACGTACACTTCCTCAGACGCATATAGAAACCCTTTAAGGGAGGACAACTTTTTCCTTTATCACAGAAATTTAACATAAACGCGTCTTCTAGATAGAGATTCCCGTAGTGATTTTCAAATTTACGAGAAAATTAAATTCTACCCTGGGAAATTTGATCTCGATCTCGATTCTCAGATCAAACGACCACGAAATGCGTAAAACAATGTGCCCTCTTTACCAAATATGGCACGATATTGTTTCATTTGCATTTATATTTTCATCGTTGCTTGTTTGTTATTTTACTTTTTATGACGTGACCAATCTTTTCTTTTCTTTTCTCTTAATGAGGACTTTCCCCGTTCGTTCAATAAATAAATAAACAAATTAATAAAATTCGATTGGAGGAATTAACCGCGCCAGCGACGTTACACGACGGACGACTAAAATGGTTCAACGTGCCAAAAATATTCGCGTGTCTCAGCAAATTTTACGTACATAAGTATGTATGTATGTATGTGTGATTGTGCGTCGTTGGGCCACGGCGGAACTGTCACCGAAAACGGGCGAAACAGACGGCGTTATAGACTAGCGGCGATCACGGGCGGCGAGCTCGTAAAACGTCTGGAAACTTGCGTGGGCGGAAACGTCAAAGTTAGTGAATGGCCCATTCAATGCGCTGTCGCGTCCGGTCAAACCGGTCCGCGATCTCTCGCTGTGTTTATTTGGCACGCTCGCCATTCTCGCGCCGGACGGGACGAGACCGGCTACGCGACGACGCGAAACCGACAGACGGCGAACGACAAGAAAATGAGACGCGGAAATTCTATATATCTATAGATGAAAAACCGACGGAAACGTACAAGTGACACGGAGAGAGACAGAGAGAGAGTGAATGAGTGAGCGAACGTTCGGACGCGTTTATCGCGAACCGATGGCTAGAAGTTTCTTCGTTTCGGTGTGCTATCGATTCGTCCCGACCGGGAAAAGGACGCTGTCGAAGGACAGGAAGTCCCGGTGTCAGCTCGAATCAAAGCGACAGCAGCCAAGTTCCTTGGTAACTTCTCTCTCTTTCTCTCTCTCTCTCTCTCTCTCTCTCTCTCGGTCCGGAGACAATGGCGCGTCTTCGAGAGGACACTGCAGAATGTCTCCGGCACTTGGAAACGCGCGACGGAAATCGATTGGCTCGCGAGAGTTGTCGACTACCCCGGTGATTCACCGCATCGTTAGCACCCTCGACGCGACACGAATCGACTACTGGTCGCGGGGAAAAAGACAAATTTCATAGGAGCGCGAAAATGGGCCGGCGATGATGAATGTACATGCCGAGGCTGCTCTCTTCCCTGTCGCGTTCCAACGATCTTTCTTCCGAAAAAAAAAGAAAAAAAAAGGAAAAATAACACCGCGTCCGTGCACGCTTTTTGGGTCACGCCCCCCCCCCTCCCCTCTCTTTTCTCGGTTTTATTTCGACGTACTCGCGACTCGTTGAAGTTGTTTGACACCGTGCGTTGCCTTTTACTTTCGCTAAGGAGCTCGTTAGATCTTAGAAATTTGTCGCTGCTGACCGAGTGACTTGTTCCAACTCACAATGTGAACAAACTCCATTTTTTCTCTCTTTTCTGTTCCAGGTAAGCAGATCATTTCTCAATCGCTGGATCAAACCCAACGTGCAAGCATCGTGAGTATTTGAATACAAATAAGAGCACTGGAGCGGAACGTCACACGTGCGTTCGTGATCAACGCGTTCTCGCTCGATTTTCATTTCGTTGTTTTGCCACTTGACACACGAAGAAGAAGAAGAAGAAGGAGGAAGGAAGATAAATGACGATGCAAAAGAAATTTCACCGAAAAATTCAAAGTTTCTCTCCCCGACGAAAACACAAATACGCGAAATGTCGCGAGGCGTGAAATCGTACCGGTTTGTTTCGTTCCCGCTCGACACGACTATGCACTCGCGATCGTTTCGAGCAGAAACGGTCTCGAGACGTTGTCCATCTTGTTTTAAACCGCGAGCTTATCCAATCGAACTCGAGCCGAACTCCGCCGAGGGCGATTGTTATTCTCGCATAACTTAATCCCTTGATCAACAATTCAAATCGGGCTTCGCATAAAATGCAACAGCTACGACAGCATCGTTCTCTTTCGCTCTCTTTCTCTGCAGTTGCATATTTCTTGCCGCTGTAAAATTGCCTTCTTGCCGACTATTGTTTATTTACGGAGCGGCTGCGTAACGATCAATTATGGATGAAGCCGCGAGCGACGAAATACGACCTACTGAGGGGAATGTCTTTTTGAAAATTGAAATTGAAAAGACGAGGGAACCCTTTATAATACAAGTATCGTTTGAACATTTGCGTTGTAAATTGAAAGATGATAACGTAATCTACGATAAACTCGAAAGGGATTTGTAATCCTTCAATCAAGTTTCGTCCCATTAACTTCCTCTCGTTCTTTTCATCCAAAGCACCGTCGAATGTAGAAATTTCAAAGTAGAAAGTAGAAACCGTACCTGCTCCGAATATTAAAACTCCGAATATTCATCCTTCGACTCGCGTGAAAAACTCCTCCAATCTGGCTAAACTCGTACCGACACTCGGTATCAAGTAGTTAGAGTCACTCGTAAGTCAGACAAAGATACGAAACACAATCGCGCGCTCGTATATATTTAATTTCGTGTTCACGATAGAAGCTGTCGGTTAATTCGTCGAGTTAATGCTCGATTCACTTAATCGTGGCGACTGCAGAAGAAAAAAAAAAAAAAAAAAGGAATCGTTGTTCCTCGATGGTCGGGCCGATGCAATTACGAAACTTGAACGAGGACGTTGATCCTCGTGAACGTAGGCGGGAACACGGTTCTGGAAAGAACACGGCGGTTTCTGGCTTCTGACGGGCAGAGAGGAGGGCCGAAAGGCGGTTTTCGCGCGTGTTGCCCAGATCTAGTATGCGGATACAGACATTAGCCGTACACGAGGATCCATGAAACGCTGTGCGTGTTGCGTTTTATTATGCAGGCTGTTGGCTTGTCTCGTTGCCCTCTCCCCTCCGACGCGATTCACCGCCGCAGCCTGTTCCTGCTCTGTCGGCGAATCGCCCACCTAATTAACTCGCAATCGGTATCACCTTCCAAATTGTCGTCACTCCATTCGTCGACGATCACGTCGATGTTCTTCTTGAGGAGGATTTCGAGAGATTTTTAGTGGTTTTAACATCTTGCGCTGGAATGACATGCACGAGAATTTTTTGTTCCAAAACTGTAATATTTTCTCAGTTTTAAGTATACGAGGTGTGTCTAGAAAGTAATGAGACTGGTTTTATAAAAATGTTTATATTTCGCTTATTGTAATATTGTAATATTTTTTCAGTTTTAAGTACACGAGGTGTGTCTAGAAAGTAATGAGACTGGTTTTATAGAAATGTTTATATTTCACTCATTGATGGATATCTTTAGTAAGACTAATATTGAATAGAGTGCAAAATTTCTCTTTACCAAAGAGCTGAAGATTGTTGGAACCAAGTAAAACCAAATGACACTCAATATAGTTACAGATTTTTAAAAGTCTCTTTAACAAGTCTAATATTAATCTCTTGCCACACACGTCGAGAATTTTTTGTCCCAAAATTGCAATATTTCTTCAGTTTTAAATATATTTAAGTATAATTAAGTAGGCAAAACAAATAATAAATTTATTACTTCTCAATAAGTTCTGTCCAGTGATATCATGCCGACGAGTCCAAAAGAAAAGCGACGTAATTACTGTATACGGTTTGGTCACTCGTTACGGTCCGCAATCAGTTGCCAGCGCAAGTAATTGAAGCGATTATTAAAGAAGGGAGGGTTCCCGAGTCTCGATTTTGATACCACGGATGATCGATCTCTTCCCCTCTTACTGATAAGCGACCGCCATCGAAGAATGCAAAATCTCGTCGACACGAATTTCTACTTTCAAAGGCAATCGCGCCACATCCGGCTCTGCTACACTCCAGCAGTACGAACTGCTATTACATACTCTGCTATTGCACACCGCGGGCAACGTTTCTCACAAGAAAACCTAACAAACTTCCACGTGTGCACCGCTGCAACAAGGAAATCTCACCGAGACTATTCGCCAAAAGCGTTCTCTCGTTACAAGCCTTGTTCACGGGCGATGTCTTTCGCGCGATAAACCTCCGCGCTCGATCGGCGAGCGAATGGACGAATACTGCTGCGTTCACACCGCGAACAGATACAGTCTATAGGTAGGGAATTGGTGGACAAACTCACTGTCCCAGCAAACTCATTTCAGCAAACTGCGATCTTTGCTCAGAACGGTCTGTGTTCGAGTTTTCCTACGCGATACTATTAGGGGTAGCCACAAGTAACTTCGTTTTTTTTTTGATAATGTACAAAATGTTATTTCATTGAAGAGTTAATACAGTTTTAATTTATAATATAATTTAACGATGAGCACATTAAATGTCAATATATTTAATTGGAATATAGGTTAAAATAAGTAAAATAGGTAAATGGCAATGTTTATTAAATTTGAAGAATTTATGGATATTCCTAATACATATATCGTTTGTGGCTAATGGGAATGGTTTGACGGTGTAACAGGCAACGATTTTAAAAATACAGCGGCGATTAATTTATCCGAACGTATCACGGAATGAATAATTCATACAATAGAAATTTACTGACTCTGCCTCACACTGCCTGTAATTTTTCGTTCGTGTAATATTTAGTTGGCTAAAAGTTGCGTTTTATTTTTTTCTAATAAATGGACACGTATATAACTAACTTCGTTTAAAACCGCAAATTTATTCAGCAATCTGACAGCCGACTGTTCAACCTTGCTCCCGAGAAAGAAAATGATTGTTCGTTTAGCTCCATAACTTTCGAAAAGGAAAGAAATTGTGCAAATTTGTGTAAAAAAAATCTTCCGATACTCGAAAACTAAATTACGGCTAAATTTCACTGACGAGGATATCGCAAAATGGTAAATGTATCAATAAAGTTTTTGTCTCTTGTGAAAAATTCGCCTTTCATTCACACGCAAAAAAAAAAAAAAAAAAAAAAAAGGAGAGAAAACGCAGTTGCTTTTCGGCCAACCTGAGAGAATCCAGGTGAACGCATGTGCAATCGAATGTAAAATAACTGTTCGATCGGCAATTCTCGAACAGCTGGGACCGATGTGAACGCCACATAACGCAATCTCTGGCGGTGCGGCCCGAAAAGAAATCGTTCGGGCGCAATAATCACGGCGTTTAAGGCTCGATAATTGAATTCGTCAATATCGAGCCGTATCTTCCGCACTGAAACTTCAGGCTTGCTTGCCCACGCGCGGCCCTCGAGTTCCGCGTGGGCGGCTCGCGCGAGCTTCGAGCCGTTTTATCTCGAAAAACGGGCCTTGGCCTCCGGAGAGATCGAGCGACATCCGAGAGATCGTTACGGCGCAGATAGCATCGCGGATGAGAATCGCGTTATTGCCTCGTGTCACGCGCGTTACGCAAAGCGGAAAGTTGACATTTAGAAAAGGTGGACAGGAGCGTCCGAGACGATTCTCGGTTTTGACACGAGCGAAACAACCTGGCTACCGTGTAGGTCGTAACAGAGAATGATGTTGATTAAATCGAAAACAGGCTGTTTCTTGAAATTCCGACTGACGTTGAACGACACACGAGATAAGAAACTTTACGCGAGACGCGTTTCAGCTTCGGTGGCACGTTACATCGGGATTTTTTTTTTGTGAAATCCTGATCGAGCAAATCTGAAATCGACAAAGGAAAAATTCTCGTCACGTTCGATCTTGGATGCGATACACTGCCAATCGCGAACGCGTTTGTAGTATCGATGCATGCGATGGTAATCAACCGACAGAAATGTATCGAGCACCATTCGCTCATCGTTGAACAAATGTTTTTGGCACTTTCGCGCCTAGTATAATAAATAGAGTTATCGCAACTGCTACCAGCCGCGATCATTTCGAGGGACGCAAGATTTATCGGCGGTTATTCACGCGACAGGAAAAATTTAATTTTCGTCAGCTGCCATTCTCTGCCGGATGAATTTGTTTCTCTCTCTCGGTGCACGAGTTGTTACTCCATTCGCGATACTAACGGTGTGAATTGCCCCGTTAATGCCAAAAAAAGGGGAACACAAATAAACGTGTGTCGAGAGTGTTTCTCTCGCAATTGGTTCGATATTTTGCAGACATCTTTTCGAGGCGTCAATGTTTCCTTCTCGCGCGAAAATCACACAACACTTTGCATCGGGGCACACTGTGCACGGCCAGTACCCGAAATCGTAATTAATTTCGATCGGAACGAATCAAGAGATTTCACGGACGTCTCGTTCGCCGGCGAGATCCGACGCGCGAAAAAAAATGATATACACATCGCGCGCGGCTCTCGATCGGACCGGATCGAGGCAATTTACGAACGGGTGAAAGTCATCGATTAATTTAATGACTGATGGCACACGGGCGTAGTGTTCCTCATCGTTGTTCGTTCGCTCTCGCGAGGAGCAAATAATCCTCGGTTCGAAAGTAGAGTGGTTACGCGCAAGAGCCCACGTGTGGCGAAATTCTTCTCTCTCTCTCTGGCGCGCGCGGTGCTCTTTCGTACGGCAAATTAACGAGGCGGTGCCCGCTCCGGGCGACCGGCAAAATCGCGCAAAACGTCCGCGTCCGATTCGTAAATAAATTATTTATACCGCGCGCCCGGGGAATATTA